TATTTGTTAATTTTTCTTTTAAAGTTTTTATATTCTGGAAAATCAATATCTTCTGATGCATTGACAAATTTTAAACTTCTTTGTACAAGCCTCTGAGGAGTGACCCTCCTAATAAGAGGATGGTCAGTTAAAGCATCAAGGCCATTATGTTTATCTGTTTCTTCCAAACGAACAACATCAAAGTCACTAGGATAAATGCTAGCCAAATTGTCACGAAATAAAATCCTCCAATTATGAATACCAGATGAATTCAATGCAGCCTTTATATAATTTTCACGTGTATGTGGTTTATAATAACCTTTAAATGCAACAATATATTCATTTTCAACAATTCTGCTAGCAAAGTGGACTTTTACTTGTTCTGGACTATTGCCATGACATGGTAATTTGGCTATATTATTAAGTTCAGAATTTATGGAATTATTGCTTTCTAATAAACAATTCACTTGATTCTTAGGCAATTCAATTGTAATACCAAGTAGTAATAATAAAGAGACATATAGCCAGCATGTGTGTGGCTTCATACTACTAATATCAGCTGAAAAATATGTAAAAAAAATTAATATTGTATATGATAAATCATTGAATAAAGAAATTAATTACTGTAACATAGAACAATTCACTTATGATAATGCAAAACATAAGTTAATAAAGAAAAAAAAAATCAAGTACCAAAATATTATTGTAAAAAATGTAATAAAAAAAAAACATTCTTTTAATTTTAACATTAAATTTTTATACTTTCTGTTGCATCAAAAAATGATATTAATAATTAAACTGGTTTATAGTTAACGTTATTTATAAAATAGTGATTGATTTTTAGAATTTATGCATATTGTATTTTGTATAACTTACATGGAGTTGAAAGACATAATTTATTAAATTGTATTTTCCTTGATCATGGTATTTTTTAACATTTCGAACAATAACAAGGCAATGTAATATCTTCTTATTTTGTTAATGTTTAAAAAGTCTAAAAACGACGTAAAGACGTTTTTTTATTGTTAAAATCTTGTTTTGATGTCATAACCTCAACGTTCTTAAAATAAAAATCCACTTCAATTGAAAGTTCAAAATGTTCGAAATATGCATTTTCGGTTAATATTTTTATGACCCTTACTTCTGTGAATTGCAATTGGTATACTTTATTGTATATAAGTTGTACCAATGAACAATGAACAAACAAATCATAATGCAGTTTATTATCGTACTGCTTATAGAATTTCACATTGTATAATGATGACAGAAGCTCAAGTTATCTTGTAGACAACATAAGACATAAAGTGCAATAATTGTGTTCTACATTTAAAACAAATTTATATTTGTGAAATTATATTTGTTCAAGAAATTTAATGTTAATTACTGCAGATAAACTTTGATAAAGGTAAACAATTTATACGATAACTTAACCTCTAATATACATTAATTTTTTATAAATGTTCATTTTACAATATAAATACTTAAGTGTTAACGTGTATAAATTAATAATAATATTATATGGATAGTATTTTAATTTAAAATATGTGATATTAATCTCTATGATAGGTGTAATATTCGCATGTAGAGGACAGCTGATTGTCATAGATGGGTAATTTCGAAAAAATATTTGTATATTTACAAAGTATTTGCTTTTATACATTATATATACATTATTAATGAGGAATTGT